TCATCTACAGTCTTAGAACCAAATTTTCTCTTCTTAGGTTCGGAAATAGCTACTTTAGCCAAGCAACCCCAAACCCGGAAGAAATTCAGATTAGGAGATCTCCCCTTCCAATATTCATAAGGAGTTGTATCGGAATTTTTTTGGGGAATCCTATTGAGAATGAAGCAAGCAGAAAGAAGAGCTTCACCCCAGAGATTTTCTGGTGCTCCTAAACTGAGTAACATACAGTTCATCATGTCCATTAGGGTTCTATTCTTTCATTCAGCTACCCCGTTAGACTGTGGTGTATAGGGAGCAGTAACCTCATGAATAATACCGTGCTCTTGGCAATATTCAGTCATATGATTTGAGGTATACCCCCCCCCACGATCAGATCTTAGAATCTTGATCTTCCTGTCAAGTTGGTTCTCAGATTCAGCTTTGAACACCTTAAACCTATCTAAGACTTCATCTTTAGTTTTGAGAAGATAGGTGTAACAATATCTGGAGTGATCGTCTATAAAAGTCACAAAATATCTCCTACCCCCTCGGGTGAGAACTCGGTTAGAGTCACACACATCACTATGAATTAATTCGAGGGGTTCAGAGTTTCTAGTTATAGACTTGAAGGGTTTTTTAGTGTGTTTCCCTTGAACACAGATTTCACATTTAGATGAGGGATCATGAGAAGATTTAGGAATGAGGTTTAATTTACTCATTCTCTGCAAGGATTGAAAATTTACATGTCCAAGTCGTCCATGCCAAACATCACAAGACTCAACAATTTGAATAACAGAAGACTCAGAAAATTTATTAGAACTGGAATTGATTACATTGAGTTTGAAAAGGCCATTACAGATAATACCTTTTCCTATGAAAACATTACTCTTTGTAATCACAAATTTGTTGGATTCTTTTACAATCCTATAACCAGCTCTAAGAAGAAGAGATTCACTAATCAGATTGCGACGGAGAGAAGGAACGTGATAAACGCCTTGCAGATGAAGAACTTTTCCAGAAGCCATGGTGAGCTCTATACATCCACTTCCTATTATTGATTTAGTGGAGTCATCTGCTAAGCTTATGCTTCCTCCACGTGATTCCTGATAATTTGAAAACCAAGAGCGGTCATTACAGACGTGGATATTTGCTCCGGAATCCAAATACCAATCAGTGGAAGAAGTTAGAGAATTTACAAGATGAGATGAAGAGGCTAACCTGAAGGAGGTTGGATTCATTTCAATCATATTAACTTTGTTGGATCCATTTCCTTTAGGGGCAGGTTTGGCCGGTTCCTTCTTCCGAAAGAAACAGTTGTGAGCCATGTGGTTGGTTCTACCACAGACAAAGCAGAACTTCTCATCAGACTTATGGCTGGAAGAATTGGGATTTGGTTTGAAGGAGGATTTGTTGAAAGATTTGTTGAAAGATTGTTGATTTTTCTTGAATTTCTTCCCTTTGGGTTTGAAATTCTTAGATTTAGGCTTATCCTCTACCAAGTTTACTTTAGCTTTTGTTTCATTCTTGGTATTGGAATTTTGCCTATGCTGGTCTTCAATACGAATAGCCTTGAGGGCTTCAGTTAAGGTTAGATCTCCTTGCTTGTGTCGGAGTTCTCCAGCAAATCTAGACCAGGAGGGATGAAGTTTATCAATCAAACAGGAAACTTTATAATCGTCAGTAAAAGTGTTTCCTTTTGATTGGAGATGACGGAGGAAATCTAGGAATTCATGAATTTGTTCGTTAATGGGTTTGTCATCAACCATCATAAACTTATTGAAGGAGGAGGAGGTGAAACGCATAATTCCGGCATCATCATAGCCATATTCTGCTTCAAGAGCATTCCATAGGTCTTTTGCACATTCCGGCATCATCATAGCCATATTCTGCTTCAAGAGCATTCCATAGGTCTTTTGCACTTTTGAACTCAAAATATATGTCATAAAGGTTGTCCGCAAGTGCACTAAGGATCCTATGACAACAATGATAGTTGATTTCTTCTGGTTTCATAGAGCTAGAAAAGGAGCTAGCACCAGAACTAGAAGTGGAAGGAGCAGGTTGAGCAGGATTAGGAGTCAAAGGTTGATAACCACTAGTAGATGACTCATAAGTGTCAATAGCAGATAAAAGACCTAAGGTAGTGAGCCAGTATTTTATCTGATTAGCCCACCGTTTATAGTTAACACCGGTGAACTTCTCAGGTTTGACACTTTTTGAATGATCAGGATTTGCCATAAGTCCAATTCAAGTTTACTAGTCTAGGTACATGTAATCTGATATAAAAAAGGATTTTGTCAATATTACTAGACCAGAAACTTAATTAAACCTGCTTTAAATCAAAAACCCTGAAAGTGAAAAGATAAAAGTTTTACTCGGGTAGTTTGGCCAGGTAAGGATAGTACTAGAGGTTGATCAAAGATCTATTAAGTACCTCGTTTCTTGCCGAGCGCTTGACGCAACCCTTAAACATTACCTTAGACACCAACTAATCCAAGAAAACTTGAACCAGTTCACTTAAAGATTTTTTGTTTTTGTTTTTGTTTTTTTTTATATATGACAGATGTAAAAATTGAGTATAGAAGCAGCAAAGAAATAAGTTTTTTAACTAATTTAGATGCAACAAATTAAAACAATTAACTAATACAACAAGTAATTACAATGAAGATTCGGGTGAACAGTAATCCCGATGAACAATAATTTTTTTAATTTTTTTAACTAATTAACTTAACAGCAAGAATTTTTACTTAATCTTCTAGATTGCTGTCAAAACAGGAATATAATAATATAAAAACAAATTAAAGAGTTAGAAAATTCAGGCCTGATCGGGAGCAGTCGTGATGTCACTGCCCTAGAAGATTAAGGACTCGTCTATCGCCCTGGCGCAATTTGTCCCCTCTCCCCTAGCGGTAAAAACCCCCGGAATCGGCCGGCCTCTGCACTCGGGCGTAAGTCACAGAGCTTATGCTCAGACGAAAATGGTTGCCCAACAAATAGAAATATAAATATGTAGCCGAAATTTCTTGGAGGTATGAGAGTAGGGAAGAGAAGAGAGTTTAGAAGTTTTCCTCTTCGTTGGTGTACTTCTGAATGAGCTCCAAGCCTGTTTATATAGGTGAGGAGAAGTGTAACCCCCGCTGAATCCAAGGGACCGTTACACACAAATCCTGCTTCCGTTACCCGCATGCAGCCGTTACAGAACGTGTAAAACGTGCAAAAATAAAAGCTTGAGGAGCAAAAATGTGTGTGTGTGCGGGCGAGGCGTGGCGAGGCGTGGCGTGAGTGCGCGTGTGTGGTAGAAATGCAAAGCCCACAAAACCCAAAATACTATTCAAAGCCCAATAAGGAGAGAACCATTATATACCCTTTACTATTCATCTCATTTTCCAATGTGGGACTATTCACAAAGGTAAAATTGCATTTTCATGAACAAAGCTTCCAACATGTTAAGTATAACCTGCAACTTCACGGGAGTTCAACTCCCGTGAAGTTGCAGTCCCAACCTCCAGAGAGCAGCCTGGCGTTGCATCTGGGCATAAATCTTCACGGGAGTTGAACTCCCGTGAAGATTTATGTATAAATTAAACTTCACGGGAGTTTAACTCCCGTGAAGTTTAAAAATACATTAAACTTCACGGGAGTTCAACTCCCGTGAAGTTTCGGAAAATTTTTAACAAAAACCGACCTGTTTTCAGCGCTGGGCTGAAAACATGTCGTTTTTTGCAAATAAAAACCCAAAAAGGTCTGTTTTGAAAATTTGTCCTTTCTTGGGATAAAGCTCGATATCAAAAGACCCTCTTCAACTTGGGACGACTACTAGGAAACCTCCTCCTTTAAGTTTAGCGGTTATCCTTTTAAATTAAAGAAAAACTCTCATGAATGATGTTAACCGTAATTCACATATGAGTGAGTAAAATTATGCATGAAGATATACATGTAAATATTTTTTTTCACCTAGTGAAAATTGTGGTTCGTACTTAAAGGACGCTTTCTGATAGCCACTAAAGTTAATGAAAGTTTCCTAGTATTTTGATAGTTATGGGGGTTATATGATAACCGTCTTCACTTAAAGGGGGCACGTGATAATATGTTTTACATTAAAAAAATTAGGGATGGCTGCATTAGAGTTAAAAATATCAATATAATTATGTGGTGATCTAATGTAATGTTAGGAGGACAAATTTTCAAAACCAACCTATTTGGATTTTTATTCCCAAAAAACGACCCCATTCAGTTTTATTTGCAAAAACCGACCTGGTTTCAGCCTCAGCGCTGAAACCAGGTCGGTTTTTGAAAAAAACTCTCCGAAACTTCACGGGAGTTGAACTCCCGTGAAGTTTTTTGAACTATGAAACTTCACGGGAGTTCAACTCCCGTGAAGTTTCGGAGAGTTTTTTTCAAAAACCGACCTGGTTTCAGCGCTGAGGCTGAAACCAGGTCGGTTTTTGTAATTATTTTTGAATGGGGTCGTTTTTGGGGAATAAAAGTCCAAATAGATTGGTTTTAAAAATTTGTCCAATGTTAGGATACCATAGCTATTCATCGAGCGTGATGTCTCAAGGAAAGTTCTCACACTTGTTCACTATAATTTATACATGATCTTCTCACTAGATATTAGAGGCGTAAAAAATTTTGGCGCATTATTTATCCCAGACATGATTATTTGCCCCGTATTTGTTCTAGTCGAGAACCGGTCGCAAGTGTAAGTATAAGATACTATAAAGTATTTTAAGTGTGGTCACTGATCTTGATATACAGTACATGACCAAAGTGTCACATTATTTACCGGTACGAAAAAAAAAACTCGATACTTTACGCCAACCATCTAAGCCGTAGGAAATTAAATTAGATTTAATCTTTTAATATAGATTAAGTTTAACCATCCTCATCAATAGCTGGTGATAGGCTTGCAACCGCTGTCCCCACCATCGACTTTACATCACAAAATTAGGCGTCTTTTCAAATTATTCGGGGGACTGGGGAGCCGAATCCCTTTTCTTGGAAAATTGACTACCAGCACCCCTTTTTATTCTTTCTGATTGCTTGACCCAAAAAGCATCGAAGCTTCTCTCCCTCATGGAGTCCAGAGCCTTTTCCCTCAAACCCTGCTCCTCCTCCTCCTCCTCCTCCAAAATTCCCCAAGAGATCGAAGAGGCCGAGGACGCTCGGAGCACCGGCATTGATCCGAGCCCCCTCTTCGTCAAGAAGAAGAAGAGGAAGCGAGGGATAATTGTTTCCAAACCCAAGCTAGGGCACAAATTTGCTTCCTCTTCTTCCTCTAGCTCTTCGTGGCAGCAGTACAGTAGGGAACGTGTCAAGCAGTGGGACCACCGTGATAATGGTGCTCAGGATCTCGGGCTGCCTCTTGGGATGTCATTTGCAGCTATCGTTGCCCAGGTGAAGTTTGATTCTTGGTTTTAACTTTGCGGACTGGGTTCTTTTGGTTGCAAATTTAGGAATTTTTGGGCATGAGAATGCTTGAGCTGCTTAATTTGGCTGTTTTCATCCTACAAGCTGGTATCTTTTAGCGTAAACCTCAACAAGATGGAGACGTTAGAGTCTCTTGATTCCACAAGTTGGCACCTTTTTTTTTATGAGACTGCCTCAATCGCAACATGGTAATGCACTGAGCTGGGGGCAAAGTGACTGACTTTACCCTATTCGTATCCGTTTACGATTTATGAATGCGAATATTGACGAAGAAATTCGTGTGTAACCCATATAACTGGAAAGGGAACGGATCAATTTTGAGGGAACAAATATGGATATGGTTCAAATATAAGAACAATTAATTGATACTTTCATAGATGAAGACTGGTAACATGCCTTTTTGATCTGTAGCTTTTTGAACACCTTCCTTAATGTAATATCATTTTTTAATGTTGTTAAGATGTATATAGTTTGGGTAATGATTAGTGTTATTAGTATTTTAGCTTCATGTTTTCTAAGAGTTCGCAAAAGACTACATTCAAGAGGGTTTTGCAGAATTTTCTTTTGTTGCTTGAGAAAAGTCTACTAGTATAATAGTTGCTGTTCCCAAAACTCTTGAAATTGAGAGGCCTGGAAGTAATAAAAAATCATTTTTACATTATCCACAAATAAGTTACACGCTTAGTAGAACATCATACAACAGCCAATCAACCCTCATCCTTGACCCACACAAAAAAGAAAATCAAAAGACGAACGCATGCCATTAACAATCAACATATAAAACTAAACACAAACACTCAAACAGAGAGAGGGTAGGTGGAGAAAGGGGTCGGACGAGAATACCTAGTTGTGCGGGCAAGAAGGTGAACATTGTTTCTGTGGAGGGGGTGAAGATGAGATGATAGAGAAGAAGTGCAGCTTAATTCCTATCCCTAGCGACAGATTTGGAAATTTTTTTTTGTGGGATGGCTGTAACCAGATGTTCCATGCTCTTCATGCTATCATGCTCAGAGTGTTGACCCCATTTTCATTTCTGATACTGGTAATTTAAAAAGTCTTGAGCTGGATTCTTTTCCACTTCTATTTAATGTCTAGATATTCATATTTGCACCCCATTTTTTGAACCAAACTGTACCCTTATATGTGCTTGGTGTAATGTCCAAATTTGCGTCCCATTCAGATATGGGTTAGGAACAGGTCGGATATACTCAAAACCCTTTTCATCCGTACATAATGTAAGAGGAACTTATATCTATGTATCAACCAGATCACAGGAGTTGGACGAGTTTCATGTTTGCTTTGCAGTGCAAGAGATTTGTATTTCTTCTGTTAAAAAAACACTGATATAGAAGGAATAGGAGTATATATATATATATATATATATAGTTTTTCATGAAATATCTTTAAATTTTCAATACTTGTTTCTCACTAATATGTGTCTCAATGTTCTCTGATTTGATTTCTTCAGAAATATCTAAAAGAAAATTTTCTGTATAAGATAAAGCAGAAATCAATTGATCGAGATATGCTTCTTCAGGTGTATTTTTAAAGTTAATATTATATTTAAACCCATTTGTATAAAAATAAAGACCATCCTCATCAACAAAAAAATGTTTAAGAAAATTGATAAAAGGGGTACCAAGAATAAGACCTAGTCTCAAGACTTTAACTAGAATAAATGACGTTTTTAAACATAGGCCTCGATTGCAAACATGAACATTTATATTCAACTATGAGATTTTGACCATTTGCGGAGCTAACCACATGAGTTATTTTTTCAAAGTATTGGGAGGGAATAAGACCTTCTCTAATGTAGTTAAGATCTACTCCCGTATCTACCAGCACATTATGGTTAACCATAAAATTGGACTATATTCTACGTGTAATAGTACATTTCCATTTTTGTTTAATATATTTATCTACAATGTTGATTGATTTCTTGGAATATTCTGTGTGTGTGTATAGGTTGAGATTTTAAGATTTATATTTCTTGCTTAAGATTTTTAAGCTCAAATTTTACTTTGTTATTTTGTAAAGAAGTGTAATGCTTGGAGTTGTTTTTTTCTTTTTAGTTATCTCAAGATATTTAGTTAATTGTATTCTTTTTTATTGTAGATCTGTAATAACATCAATAGTGTCAAGAATAAATTGTTCATGTTCATCTAAGGTATTTAATTATGAAGAATTGCAGAAGACTCCATAGGTAATTCAGGACACTTTTCTTCATAGCAAGTGCAAACATTGTATAGCTTTGGTGTTTGTTTCAAGTCCCAACATCCTTCATATGCTATAGGCTGTAGCTGACATATAAAACAAAAGGGAATATAGGCGGTATACTTTTTATAGTAAATTAGGAATCCATGAGCCAGCTCATTGACAACCACGATCGCCAAAAGAAAAGGGAAAAGGGCAAAAATAGAGGGAAAAAGAAGAAGAAGAAGAGCTATACACTACGTGGACTATGGTCACACATGCACACCAGCCAAATAGAAGTAACAGACGAGCTAATAACTTGAATTGGAATGAATTACCAAATTGGAATGTATAGTTCATTTAAATTTGTGTTTTTTTTAAGTAGACATTGGAGCGAAAACATTTTAAAACTTTTAACTGTTAGGTTATAGTGTACTAAATCATTCTATGTGATGATTCTTCTTTCTATGCCTTGTTGG